GGATCAAAAACCGATCACTCGGTGAAAACGAATTATTTTTCTGTGTTTCTTTTATTATCGTTGCTGTGTTTCCTGTAAATATCTTACGTACGTGACGTCACGTTCACAGAGTCTATTGTTTATGATCAGAAGTATTCATGGTAAAGGGAAAAAAGCAACTTCAATTGGCTTGCTTTAAAGCCTGGGGCACCAGAGGGAGAAGACTGACTTAGGCTAAGTGCCTAGCTGTTTTAGCTAGGCATAATGGAATGGCCTTCACGCCTAGGTTGGCACTACCAACAGAATTCTCGAAGTACTTCGCCCATTCTGCCCAGGCACACGCTTGCACTATTTTGAGGTAACAGTCAGGATTTGGAGGAATCCTTGGGGGGGGGGGGGGTAGTAGTAGTAGTAGTAACGGAGGACGTGGGCACCATCCCTTTACCATTACGGTTAATCGGTTCTGCCCACGTCCTCTCTTATCTAGTATTTATTAATAAATCAAAGGTTTATACATTGCCATATAGTGTGCCATATAGTGCCATAGAAAAAAAAAATAAAAATAAAAATCTTAAAGTAGTACTTTATAGTCCTTCATGAATGGAACCTTCCTTGGGGGTGGAAAACTTGGAACTGCGGTATTTTGGAAGAAGCCCGGGAGGGTCATTTCAGCCATCGCCTGAAAATATCAGAGCTTCATGAGTGGCCATATTAGAGCACTCACATTTCAACAGGGAGAGATGATCTTCCCTGAGTGTCATTGGTGTAAGACTGACATGGTCACCCCGGCCCATATTTTAGCAGATATGCTTAGCTATTATAAGATACGATGTGTAAGCAGATGACGCCAACAGCTAAGTCTCGTTTTTTTAAGAGTGTTTGGTGATATATGCTACTTGGGTTGCTGCAAATGTTCACAATGCTCTAATGACTTCAAAGAATTTTTGATGCAGGAAATGTAAGACTTAATTTTGTACATGTAAGGCTTTGAAGAACTGCTGATGATTAAAGTAACGTACACTATAGTAACCAGATACGTCTCAAAAGCACTGGAGCCAAAATCTTTTAAATATTTTAAAGATTCGGTGAAAATATTGGTTAAAAAAAAGCAAAATAAATATCTTTTTGATTTTAGTAGGTAGTTCGGTCCGAGGTTCGAATCCCACGAAAGGGCTGGCTGCATGGGTGTTTTCGTGTTTTCCCATGTGTAACGTGTATACGAGACAGTTTTCCTTAGGAAGTCCTCCACGAAGGCATCCCTCGGGCGGATAGCCCTCGAGGCTTTGCGGTAATTAAATAACCTAACCTAACCGGATAAATATAAAGCCAAAAAAAGTACTAGTGGTGGCCCTGATTCGGTAATTTTGATTTTACATTATGCTTTCTGACATGAAATTTTGAAAAGCTGTTCAAAAACGTGGTAGTAAGAGTACCCTTTTAAAATATCTAAATGAAATACATAACAACTGGTATTATCCTCTGAATAAATTATGTTTAATTTTAAGGAAATTCATGCTTTTTTTTCATATAATAAATAAACTGCCATCAGTATGATATCAGAACATATCTTAAAATAATATATTGTTGCGTGCGTACGGATTCGTTACTAAATGAATGCACAAGTCCGATGAAAAATGAACAAAAATTTATTATTATCACAACAAAAATGCTTAAATTTTCTCAAATTATCATGCAGTATTACAATATCTCACAGTAGTTATCTTTTAACTACTCAAATGTCCAATAGAACGTAATTCAAAACAGCTAAAGAACGCTAATCCGCGAATTCGCTACAATCAACAACAGAGTAGTTTTCTAAACAACAACAAACTAAGCAACTACTACGAACTGAGATGTTTTCCTCCTTTTATAAGATTTTAAAATCACGCGCTAGAATTTTCCAGTACTTTCTCGAAATCAAAAAGAGATATTTATTTATTTAATGCACGCGCTCTTGTATTTTCAATTTTCCTGCTTAGCTTTCTTTTAATATTCGTCACGCGCTGCACTGCGCGAGAAATAAAACCATTTAATTTATAATTGAACTAACATTAGCTTTTTAAATACCAAATTCGTAACAATATTTTAAATCTCTAAGTAAATGAATGATTGTCCTCTATTTTAATTAATCTCAATGAATATGCTAAGCCTGCTTCTAATGCAACAGTTGAATATTTAACGGTATTGTTATGTTATCAAGACCGGAGTCGTCGCTAAATGTTTTGCTAAACTCGCCAAGAAGAAGTCGCCAATGTTTCATCATATGAAGTCGCGAATGTTTACTTCTAAAGTCGTTAAAATATTAACTTTTTTAAGAAAAAGTAAGCCTTTTCAAAATTGGCAACAAAAATGGAAATTCCGAAGATGTAATGCGCCCTTGTGTTTAATTTTTATTATATTTACCATGGATTTGAAAATTTGGACTTGCTTAGTCATGAAATATCTTCCACACTATTTCCTCAGGAAAGAGGAATTACTCAGTGCACGAAAAATCGTAAAAGGAAATTTTAGTCCAAAGAGGCTTTGTCCCTGAAGGAATATTGTTTTCGTTTTGCGATTTTGCGTTGGTTCACTATAAAAATATCCGTTTCACTTTTCGAACTGTTGCCACCAAATGTTAGAGTCCTGCATTATATTTGAAGAAATTGAATAATGAAAAATCTGTATAAATGTAGGTATATTTCTCCCATTGTACAACAGTACCTAGAGCCATCGAATTTTGAATCCTCCTAAGAATATGGACAAATGGAAGACCAAATTTGAAATTTGAAATTTGTTTTATTATCGATTTCATATTTGTAAAACTTTAACGAATTTTTGGGTAATAAACTCAACGATTTCAAAGCGTGCAATGATAACACTTTACGGAGGAAAAAAAAAAACCTTTTTATCTCCAGCGCGCGGAACTGTGTATCGGAAATTCTAAAGATAGGCTCATTTTTAAATTATTTTGTGGCATTGCTATTGAACTGAATTTCATGGTTTAAATGCAAAGAACATGATATTTAATAAATAAAGGTAAGACACAAAACGTTAAAAACGCCGTTTTGGACGTAATTTAAAATCTGAAACTTTTAAGATTTTTTAATTATTTCTGGTTTTTTTTGGCAAAGTGTTTAATTTACATTGAAAAATCCTAATTATATGAATATATGTCGTTATTTTTTTTTCTTTATTTTTTTTTTTCAACTTAACCGTGTCGTTTTTCATTTATCGTAATTTAAATATTTTGCGGGTTATTTTTATGCTTCGAATTTTTCGCCAGTCAGCTTTGGGACTGAAAATCCTCCGCCCAATCGTCACCTTTGGGAGATATCTGATTCCGGTCCCGATAACAGAACAGTACTCGCTTTAACTGCTATTCTGAGACCCAATTCGCATCTACGTACAACCGCATAGGTTATACGTAGATGGTACCGTATAAGTTGTACTTCTAATAATACATACAATTATTCGAAGTGCAGTTCGCCTTCTCGTTAGCAGTATGGAATTTGATTGAGTCAAAACTACAGTACTGAAACTGATTAGTTGAGTGCTACGTTCCACTACTAGCCACTGCTTTACTTAACACGTTGAACGCCACAAGTATTTCTTAGGCAATCCCGTTCAGGCCACGCGCCCCGCTTAAAAGCGCTGATATTGTAGTGCCAGTGATTCTCAAGGCCCGTTCACACGAGTACGCTCGCGACGTAGTTAACGCAACTTTTTTGACGCAGGCGTAAATTCGCGTGACGCAGAAGACGTAAAACTGAGTTCGCTCCTGTTCAGCTTTCTCGCGCGCTTATAGCCAATAGCCGACCGAGTTCTTATCACGTGTCATAATCAGAAAACATTCTTGCTTACCCGTTTCAATATAGCGTCAGAAACAACAGAGATGAGTTTTTGCTTAGAAATATCATAAGTGTATACAGCAATAAAATAATCAGCATTGTTCACGCCATCTTCAGATTTCTCAAACCGTATTGTAGGGCCAGTGATTCTTATCGCAGCAGAAAATAGTTTACGTTCGGGACGGGATTCCTATAGGCATTGATTAAACCAATTAACCAAATGGTAAAGGTGTGGTGCCCGTCTTCCCCGTTCCTAAATCCTAAATGCTATAGGCTTTCATTCAACACGTTAAGCGCCAAATCTGTTTTGTAAATAGTCACACTCTATACAGAGATATTACGGTTAGGTTAGGTTATTTAATTACGGCAAAGCCTCGAAGGCTATCTGCCTAAGGGGAGGGATGCCTTCGTGGAGGACTTTCTAAGGGAAACTGGCTTGTATACACGTTACACATAGGGAAAACCACGAAAACACCCATGCAGCCAGCCCGTTCGCGGGATTCGAACCTCGGACCGAACTACCAGTGTTCAGCGACTTTACCGCTCGGCCGCTGGTGGGCACAAAGATATTACGATGCAGAAAATTAGCATTACTGAATTCCGGAAAGAATTAGCGCTATCCCTTACAAGTTGTGAGAAAGAAAACATTCCATCGAACAGAAATGCAAGAATATCTAAAAAACGACAACATAAACTCCAAAGAAAACCGGGAAAAGCCTCTGAAGTACAGAAATATTGTAAATTATGTTATGATAATGCAACAGAAGCTGGTAGAGTAATGGGCAGATAAAAATACTAAGAGAGCTGTCACATTTTGTAATAGCTGTAATGGAGAACTGTTTTTATGCTTACCGTGTTTCAATGAAATCCATTAGTCCTGTAATGAATCAAAATTAAGTAAATTTTAAATAAATTTTCTTTATTTCCATAAAATATAGTAAATTTTATACATATATATCATGTTACACGCTGACAGCCAGCGGCGGTGGACGCGACCTAAACGGAAAGTCTAGTGTCAGCCACAGATGCCTGACGTGGCGCTCAACGTGTTAATCAGTCATAGATACTACAGCCTCAGTTAGAGACTGCATTCAAATAAGCATCTTACCTCCAGTCAACATATCTGAATCATTATAACAGTGAATTTGAGTCTGAAGTCAGAAATTTCATAAATTGTAATCTCTTCCGCAGGTGGTATCTGTAAAAGCAACGAAAATGAAAACGAGCCCTCGAGGAATGTGGTAATTTTAAATACCTTTAACTCCGAAGGCAGAAGACCACTGTTTGCCACCACTTGGGCTACCACCATGGCTCTCGGACAAAGTATGGGTAGCATTGAACGGGAATGCGAAGTACCCCTTTCCTATCCTCCGGAGGACGACTGGACACTTTTCTTTTCAGATTGTCGCAGGCACAACATGGCAAATGCACTCGCATCTCAAGGTAACAGCTGAAATTTTACAAAATAAGAGTTTTACAAAGTAAATAAGAGTAAAAATGCATAAAGATAAATACAAGAGACTCATACGAGAAAATTTACTGTTTAAATATTCATCTGTTACCGTGAAAGACCGAAATGGGAGAATGTCGACTTTCACCGGAGAATGTCAATATTCACCAAATACGCCGGTGAAAGATCGAATATTGCATTACATTCTTGTACATTCGGACCCTCACCGGTGCGTATCCACCGAAGCAGATCGTTTCGACGCCGACGGTTTGACACCAACGTTTCGACGCAGGGGCAGTTCGACGCCATATTTTTTTCGTATTTTTATTTATTTTTAGAATAAATATGACTGTTTTTTATTTATTGAATTAGCGAGTGTTTGCATGCATATCTGAAATAAATATATGTGCGTATATGTGTGAAAGTGTTCTAGATTTTTGTTTGTGTTCCAGATTAGTGAGAAGTGCCCTCGCCAAGGTCAAGTCCCCGAGACATGAGGGAGGGGTTTTTTTTTATTTATTTATGTCACAAAACAGCATCAAAAAGGCAAAATACACAAATGGTAAATAAACATATGGTTACAAAGTAGTTATATTATATTGCAGACAAATATAATTACAGATACTAAATAAGATAACACATAAATAAGATTAGAGATAAATAAGATTACATCACAGAACTGTTTTTATACTAATCCATTGCAAAATTATGCGCGACACTTTTCAGGTATTCCATTATTTCTCGATTTTCAAAATCTTCAACTATTACTTTAATTCTCATATCAGCTCTCAGATACGTATTCCGTTTGTGCGGCTGTTCATCTCCACGTTCAAATTGTTCATAACATTGATCAATTGATTTTTGAACACGCCTGATACCATCTATGAATTCCCATAATGTGGGGTGTGAAACACCAAATGATGATGACACCAAATTTATTTGAATGATGATGCAAAATAAATAATAAAATAAAAAAAAATAAAAAACAAAGTTCCGTCAAGCAAGCAAAAAGTAGGGCCGAATGACCCACTCAAACATTCTTCGTGCCCGGCGAACGTGCGTCGAACGCTGTCCCTTCGAAACACGAAACTCTGGTGTAGGTTGAAAAGAGAGGAGTATATGTACACGCTGTCATTGCAAAAGGAAGTGTTCCACAAATAAATGCTGTTGTAAAAGCAAGGGCCTCTTGTGCAATTGAAAGTGTCATAAGAGTTTAAGTTTTTGCAATAAATAAGATTTGAATCACGTAATTTAGTAAGTTTTAAACTTCTATTATTTTCCTTTCTCATTTTGAATGTACAGTGTGTTTTTTAAGTTCTTATATTCTTAAGTTCTTAATTTAAGTGCGTTTTTTCGTGACCGAATTACGGAGAAAAAAATATAATATTCTTATGTGTTCAACATTCACCATTAGTAGATGGTGAATGTTGACATTTACCGGTGTAAGTCAGAAATAAGAGTATTTGGAAAATATTTCGGACATACAACAAGCGACTATGTGAATGTTGACATTCACCGGTGAAAGTCGACATTCTCCAGATTTCGGGTTTCACATACATTTTATACGATAAGAAAAATATGAATCTTGTAATTTAACAAAATGATGACAGAATTAGAGAATAATAAATAAATGTTTGTCAAACTCAAATTTCTACATAAAATACCTTTAAATTTTTATGTGAGGTTTGTATGAAAAGTTTCTAATCAGTTAAGTGTTTTCGTAACGAAGTCGGTCTAAGAAAGGTATCGGTATTCATGGTAGTATGCGATCTGTAGCTTTATTTAATCAGTTAATGTTTCATAGGTGCCTCTACTGAAACGCTATATATAAATATGGAAATGAAAATGATTCCATTAATTAAGTTATTAACTCATTAAAGTTTTAATTTCATTAAATTTAAAGGTTAAAGTTACTTAGAAGGGACGAGTTGGAAATTTCGCTGTTCTTTTCCCCAGAAAGTTCGCCAAAGCGGCAATCTTTACTGTAACTCGACGAACATTATCAGTATATTGAAAAAAACGGTACTATTCGGTTTCGGGGGGGGGCCGTAATAAAATTGCAGAGAAAATGTACGCGCAAAAGCGCCAAATCTAGCAAACGCGCCCATTTAACAGCGCGCCAAATCTAGCGTACGGGCTAATTTCAGATTGCGTAAGTTTATATAGTTCTATATTTCTTAAGACGCCATTGAAATACTAGTTTAATTTTTAAATCCTTTTTTGATTTTAAATCCTTTTTTGATATTCTATGGATTTAACAATTTGGGAATTGCCCATGACGAAAACTCGGCAATAGAATTTTGGGTAAAGTGCAGAATTATCCACTGCTTGACACGTTTTTAAGGGGCTGGCTGCATGGGTGTTTTCGTGGTTTTCCCCATGTGTAACGTGTATACGAGCCAGTCCTACACGAAGGCACCTCTCCCCCTTAGGCAGATAGCCCTCTTGTGCTTTGCCTTAATTAAATACGCCACACCACGACACGTTTTTAAGAATTGCACATACTCGGTATCCATGTGCACATCGACCTATTTTCACTTTAAAAAAAATCCTAGAATTGCACAAAAATGGCACTGCGCACACCTTTGACTTTATCTATGTACACATCGACCTATTTTCACTTAAAAAATAAAAGAAAATTGACAAAAATCCAATTGTTTTTACCCTTGTAAAAAGCGGCTGGCGAACAAATAAGTGAGCGATTCTGCACTTTACCAAGAATATTTTCAAAGAAAAGGCATCATTCATTATAGAAAATTAGGTTTGAACAACCAGAGAGATGAAATTATCCTTTAGCGATAAGTCGGTAGCGAAATAGCGATGCAGGCATCCATTCAGTTATGTTTAGCAATTTTCATATAAATTATAATAATGATCTGAAATAGTTATTTACTCTTATGCTTCCATTCAATCATGTTTAGCCATTTTTCATATAAATTATAATAATAAAAATGTATTATATGAAATTAACCTTTCATCTAAATTAAAGCATCAATCTTAAATAGTTATTTACTATTACACTTCCTTTCTTGCCGCAATTATTTTTGGCAGCATTGGCATCAACAAAAGTTTGGCGATTTTTTATGCCCTCGAAACCGAATAGTACCAAAAAAAACTTTAACACTACGATTTAAAATATAAAAATAATGATGAAAAATACTATTTAAAATTAATAAAACAAACCAAATGTAAAATGCAAAAATAATGTATTAAACATTATACATAATGTATATGATGCATTATTTTTATTTTCCCCGTACATACAGCGACTTGTTTTGCCTTAAGAAAACAGAGAATTGCGCAAATTCGACACATATTTACGTGCATTATTGTTTTCGCTCCACGCACACAGCGATATGAAAGATAGTTTCATGATTCAATAACAATAGCTTCACAAAATAAAATTTTAAAAAAAGTCTGTAAAGTCTTAGATTTTAAATTACGTCCAAAGAGCCTTTTTTTTTTTTTTTTTTTTTAATGTTTTGTGTTTTACTTTTATTTATTAAATATCATGTTCTTCTCACTTAGAACATAAAATTCAGTTCAACAGCAATGTCGCAAAATAATTTTAAAAGGAGCGTATCTTTGGAATTTCGGATACACAGTCTCGAGCGCTAGAGACAAAAATGTTTTTTCTGTACAGCTTTGCCATCGCTCGATTTGAAATCCTTGAGTTTGTGAATCAAAAATTCGTTAAAGTTTTACAAAATATGAAATCGATGATAAAACAAATTCCAAATTTCAAATTTGGGCTTCCAGATGCCTATATTCGCATTAGGATTACGTCATTCAAAATTGGATGGCTCTAGGTACCGTTGTTTTATCCCAATGCGAGAAACATTCATACGTTTATACAGATTCTTCATTATTTAATTGCTTCAAATATAATACAGGCCGGTAGTATTTGGCAGCAATGATTTGAAAAGTGATACAGCCTTTCAAAGTTTTCAATGCAAAATCGCAAAACGAAAACAATAGTCCTTCAGGGACAAAGCCTCTCTAGAGTAATAAAAAACTTCAACACTTTTCATATTTGAATGCGTGGTAAAATGACGCCAAAAAGAAATGAGAAATAAATAAAATCGGTAGATCGCATACAAATGATTGCCAAATTATCCATCCTCACGTGATCAAAATTGCCCAAGCTAGCACCAATTTCAATTTTGGCAGACCGTATTTAAGAATTCCTAAAAACAGTCATACGATTGTTAAATTTTTCAGATGCATATTTTTGATAGCTACGTTTTATGTAATAAAAGATTAATATAGAAACACGGGCTTCAAATTCCCACTTGTAGAAACACTTAAGTTTACAAATTTATATATACTTATTATACTTGAAATCCTTCATCGAAGGGAGATATATATAGTAGGTGCAATACTTAGTTGAAACATCCTGTGCATTTTATGTATTAGGTACTCAGAATGTTTTCTGAATTTGCTTGTTCTTTTCATGAATAGGAAGTTGTGTGAATGTGTGTATAGATTTAAATGTGTGGTAAAATGAACGATCTTGTCACTCAGACGGTATAATGGTTAGGGGAGCCTACCGCGGTACCAAAGGGCTCGGGTTCGAATCCCGGAGAAAATATGGATTTTTCTAAATGTAAAGTGTCCATGTGATATGGGAGGCTCTAAATATGGCGTAATGGCAAACCACACATTGAGTTGATCAATGTTAAACGAATTTCGCTTACTGCGCATGCCCAGAATAGAATTTGGTGCAATTTTAAAAGAAGATAAATACGGTATATGGTTGATATTAAGATGAATCAGCTGAATGCTTATTTATTATACTTATGAGGAATAAAAGCAATTGAATATTTACCATACGTCCATTCGTATATAGTTTAACATATTAAAGAATAAATCCAGTTTAAATTACTGAATTAAAGTCAAGTAACTGATATTAAATGTAATGTTTATGAACAAAATAAACCAAAATGAAATGAAACAGAAACACATGCAATGATTATATCTCGATATAATCACA